GCTAGTGCAACCTAACAATCAGCTAGTGCAACCTAACAACCAGCTAGGGCAATCTAACAACCTGCTAGTGCAACCAAACAACCAGCTAGTGCAACCTAACAACTGGCTGGTGCAAACTTACAACCAGCTAGTGCAAACTTAGCAAGTGCAACCTAGCAAACACCTAGAAACACCCTCATAAAGGTTGTTGTCATAACCCTGACAACAACTCTAAACATCAAACACATAGCAATGCCTTAGCAATGATCAATAATATCCTAACAACGACGCTTTCCTTACAGACAACTTATCAACACCCAAGTTAGAACTTGCTTTTCATATAATGTAGCCCCTTCTTACTATGAATACTGACGGTTAGTGCTACATTTTTAGTTTGTGTGTGTTAATTATTTGTTTTCCTGTCAGAAACACCTGGTCCGACGCCCCCACCACTGGTCCCCATCACCTCCCTGCCAACAGATGAAAGGAGCGCTTCTCTTGAAGGTAGCGGTCTTTACATCTTAGTATAATCATGATGTTCATTCTGAATTTCCATTGTGTCCGTGCTTCAACTCTTCATGCAGGTGAAAGTCACACGGAGAAAGTTGAACTGTTGAATCCTGTCAATCTATCACTGGCGTGTACCTGGACAGGTAACCAGAACAAACTACCAAACATAACTGGGTTCTGGAGAAAAGATGGGGATGAAGTTGAGAACAGCCAAGTCACAGTGCAACTGGAGGGCGATCAGTATAAACTCAAACGAGTGTGAGTACACATGTTCATTATTCCATCCATCAGCTTAAAAAAATACATTGTTTATCATAAATTGGCTGTCTTGATAGGTAAATACCCGTATCCACTGTGTGCTGAGTTGTCTGATCATTTTATTAATGCATGTGTGCATCATGATGTACAATAAAAGTTAATAGCCATTATTATATTTCATACAACTAAAATGTATGTTTTAATGTACAGCAGCTTGAGAACTTAAGTTGGACGTCTCACAACTGGCTTTTATCAGTTTGAAGTCCAAATCTGTGACTTTATTTAATTTACAAGAATATAAAGCACATTATCTACGGACCTTTTTAAAATAACATTCACACTAAATTAACAAAATATGTTTTTGTGTCTATTTTTTTGCTTCACAGGTTCAGCATCGTCAGTGAAGAAAGCCTCGGGAGTTACTCATGCGTGTTTGGAAGTGAAGAAGCAAAAATAGAGTTTGTCTTGGCTGGTACAGATCACATCCTTTCATGAGTATATGTGTGTATATATATGTATAAATATAATCTTAACATTTTCCAGCCAGCATTTGTGTTGTTATCAGCTTGTTCAGTCCCTTTCATAATGAATGCCAATATTTACATAATGCAGAACAAACAATGCCCTTTTCTCATGATCTTTTTCCTTGTTGTCCACGAGCTCCACAGATCGGTGAGGTGCGAGATAAGCCGATAGTCAGCTATGTGGGGGACTCTGGGGTGATTGCATGTAAAATGGAGGAAACCAAACCGAAACCCATCACCTGGAACTGGTACAAAGCAAATGGTACAGACAAGGTGGGTGAGCTGCTCTGAGCCTTCATATCGATTTGTGTCAAATATCTGAAAACACCTGTGCAGGTGTGTCTAAATTCAATCTGTATCGATGGAATATTTTCAATTAATTTAATTTAATTATTTTGTTTTTCACTTTGAAAGATTGTGAACACATTTATGTGCCTCTGACCCATTCAATATTTGATATTTGATCCAGGAGCAGATCTTCGCCGTTGCAGAGCTTCTTCGCTATGAGATCAAAAACGAAGAGAGGAAGACCAAACTTGTGGTGCACAACCTGACGGAGGCTGACGGAGGCCTGTATTACTGCGGTGCGGTGTACGCCATCAGCACCACGATGAGCCACGTGGAGCTGAAGGTGAGATATAGAAAGTTACTAAGTGCATTAACCCAATTACTGTGTTTAAGTACAATTGAGTACAATTTGAGGTACTTTTACTTGACTTGGGTGTTTCAAGTTGAGGTTGTTTTGAATGCAGGACTTTTACTTGTCATGGAGTATTTTCACAGTGTTGTGCAGTGTAACCGTTTCTCGAGTAAAACATCTGAACACGTCTTCCCCCACTGCTGAAGGTCATCAGCTTCCAGGAGCCTCTGAAGCCCTTCATTGCCATCGTGATCGAAGTGAGCGTCCTGGTCGCCGCCATTCTGCTCTACGAGAGATGTCAGTCCAAGAAAAACTACACAGCAGGTAGTCAGACAGTATGCTGATACTCTTGTGTGTTTTATGTGTACTTTTATGTTGTATTTTAACTTGAAATTATCTGCCGTATTCTCAGGAAATGGGACCATTGACCAAACAAATACAATGTGAGTACTCTGGGAATGGTGCTGAGCTCTCTAAAGAAGTATATATTTTTAAGTTTAATGTATTTATTTGTAGTTTTTAATGATGTATATTTTGTATTTCCCTCATCAGGACTCAGGGAGAAAATAACGAACCAGAGGAAAGTTCTTCAGTGAGACAGCGGAAAATTTAAAAATTGCAAATCCAACACATCAAAGCTTCTTCAAAACTGTTGACGTATTTTGATTCTTTTCAAATGTGATTTGAAGCTTTAAATTCAAAATCTCAGCAACTATTCTATACGTGTGTTCACAAAAACAAAGTGCAATAACCACCACTTAATAACCGTCAGTGCTGTCGTGGCAGCATTTACCTTTTACCTTTTAGTCTTATGTACACCCACATCCTGTGGGAAAAACTGACACGCATCACACCTCTCCCTCGAACAGGAAGTGCATTTCTTGCTTTTTGGTATCAACTTAAACCTCAACTTCTCTTTACTTCTGTTATTAATGTGTTATGGTTTGTGAGCAGTGCCTTACACCGTAAAAAAAACAAAACACTCCCATAACCATTCATACTGTGCTTGCAACAATTTTGCAGTTTGTCCTTGTAGTGAACATGCTGTGTAATGCCATAATAGCGTGTATATCAAGATATTTCATCATATATGCAAATGCTTGTGTGTTTTTCATGTTAATGTACAAAAAAGATGGTCAGAAAAGGTCATTTTTCACCCTAATCATGACTTCAACCGTCTGTAGCTGTTAACCTGAACCTGTCACCTGCCAGTGTGCGTGTGAACATGCAAATTAAAAATACACAAGTCACTGCCTGAAATAACTATCAACGCCATTGTGTTAGCCGATATGGAGACAGAGCTCACTTAAAGGGGAACGCCACCAATTTTCTGTTCACAGGGCTTGTTGAGAACTACTGCACATAAGAAATGAAGTTGTAAAAACCTTTATGTGGCTCCAGAGGGACAAGGAGGAAGAATATGTGGAATAAAAGATACCTCTGGTTCTGCTGCATCGATTCTGATCCTTTTTTCTCAAGTCCAATGTTACAGGAGTGCAATGTCAGTGAAGTAAGTGTGTATGAGTGAACAGATGTCTTATTAATGTTGGCACTGACAAACACACACGAGTGTCAATCTGAAAAGCATGATTTTATTTTTGCATAAATAGGCTACAGTCTGCACATTAATAATACTCAGTTTTCATACTCATGAGCCTGCTTATCACTAACGTTTCTGCATTTTTGAACATTACATTTTATACAATCTGACAAACGTCCTCATGTCCGCCACGTTGGCCTCTTTAGAAGCTCGTCCTCTTGATTTACGAACTTCTACGGCCGGTTCATGAGGAACTGAACCAGAAGCTTGATGACGCCGTCGTTCAGCCCGACCACCGCTCCGTCCTGCACGCTCTCGTACAGTCGCAGGCTCTTAGTGCCCCACAGGAGGTTCTTCCTGGGGTTGTTGGCGTCCGTCTCCACAGAGAGGGCCACCGTGTTGAGCTGGTAGCAGAAGAAGGAGAAGAAATGTCCGTCTGTGATCACAGCCTGGGACACGAAAGGCCTGGTGACGTCCTCGTGGTTCCAGAAACCTACAGAGGTGAGAGAGGGAAGTTAGACCATCAGCTGTTTCTCCCCTCTTCAGTTAAAGTCCACTTGTGTGTGTGTGTGTGCGCATCTCTTTGCTGCGTTGATAACTCACCCTGGTACATGGCCTGAGCTCCTGTCCAGGCGAAGAGGCTGGCGAGTGCATTGGCTCTGAGGAAGACCTCCACCTGATCAGACTGCTGCAGCCGAGCCATCCGGTCTCTGTGGTACCGGTCGGGCACCAGGTGGAACTGAGTCTGACCGTAGCATGCCGGGTCCGGTACCTTGGCACCTGTTGATGAGACCAAGAGGACAGGGCACAGCTGAGAGAGGAATCAAACAACAACAACGTGCTTCAAATATTTTCCCCAGTTTAAAATTTCCTTTTTTAATATTTCTCAATCTCTGATTGATACTAAGTTATGAAATCTGTTCGATGTAAAAGACTAAGATGGACCGTCTTTGCCAGAAAAGACCGGAGCTGCAACGCTTAGTTGATTGAAAGAGAATCAATCAGCAGGTCAAGTCAATTTTCAAGCCAAAAATGCAAATATTTGATAGTTTCAGCTTCACAAATATTAGAATTTGCTGCTTTTCCTTTTCATACATCATAGTAAAGTGAATATCTGTGGATTTTAGGCTGTTGGTCAAACAAAACAAGAATAACTCCGGGGATACTTGATGCCCATTTTTCATGTTTTTCTGCTGTTTTTATTGACCAGAAAATTAACTGATTAGCCGAGGACACAGTTGGCAGTTCTATTGATAATGAAATGAATCGTTAGCTGCAGCTCCAGAAAAGATTTAATGCAGCTGCTGCATAAACACGAACAGGTTAATGATCAATGGAAACAGGATAACTTGGAACGTAACATACAACTGAAAGTCCCAGGCTACAGCTGTTAGCATCATTACACTTTATTAGACCAGTATAAATGCTAAGAGCAAAACACCAAAGCAGTGTTTGCTTTGAGTAATGGTTTCTCCAGAAACAAGAAAAACAATCATCTCGTAGAGAAAATTACAGCCGGTTAAACGTTTTGAATTCGAGTGACTGAACAGCTGCACGTTGGCGCCCTCTAGTGGCAGCAAGACAGAACTGAAACATGTTAAATGTAGCCAGAACACAACATGCTCAATTCATGTTGTTTTGGCTACTTCAAAAAAAATTAAAAATTAAAAATTAAAAAATAAAAATAGGTCATCATGTAATTTTCTAAACATATTGAAAACCTTCCAAAATAACATACATACTGCTTTTTCTCAAGTACTTAGGAGTCAATGAAATATTTTAAAAAGGGGAAAAAGGATATGCTGAGGCAGAAAGTAAGAGAAGTAAGACCCATGTCACTGCTCTATTGCGTTACCTGTAAAGATGCCGTTGTCGTACTGCCTTCTGAACAGAGGCAGCAGGTCCGGAGCAAACGTCACCTCTGGAACATCGGCTGCATAAGAAGCCTCCAGCGGGGTGAACTAAGAGAAATTAAAAACAAAAAGGGATAAGAAGAAAAAAATCACATGAATGCTTGACATTAAACGGCACCTATTAATGATATATATATATATATATATATATATATATAGTCCACTGTTTGGGAATGACGTCCACCTGTTGCAGTTGTTGGGTTAACCTGATCTGACAGTGCGGTTGGTCATCGATCTGGAACCTGGTTGGCTCTTGCCGGCCTCTCCGGTGCCCCTTTGGGATGATTCTCTGTCCTCTCCTCCAGTAGAAGTTTACCTGGGGAGCAATATCTGATAGAGAAATACACAAAATATGACTTACAGAAGTCAGATAGTTATGGAAAGAATGCACAGTAATACTGCTATTGTGATGTAAAACTAGATACTATGAAGGACTTTGGTTTATGTATCTTGATAATTAACGTTTTGGGGAACTTTTTTGAGTATCAAAAGCACTGAAAGGCGAATTGTATTGTTGCCAACATATTTTTTGGTCAGATAGTTCATTATTTAAATCAGCATTTGGAAATTTTACAGCAATCAAAACACATTATTGGTGTTGAATGAGAAATATCAATAACCTGCTTTATTTGATCAGTAAAAATAAAGGATAAAAACCTTGTTTACATTCACAATGTTGTCACAACTGTAGTTTTAAAAGGAGGCACAAAGGCCTGGAATGTATGGTTTGATTGTGCCAAAGTGGGTGGAAGGGCAGCTTAAGATAGACTGGTGTCAAATGAGGGATTCATACCCAGACTGGCGAGGCGGAGCAGTGGGTTGTATGTGGCCAGACTGAAGGTGAGTCCAGTCACCAGGTTTCTCAGAAAAGGTCCAACCATCTGCTCCTGCTCTCTGTACAGGAAAGGTGCGCGTTTCTTAATGTGCCAGTGCTCCTGTAAAATCACACGAGTGACCAAGGAGCGGATGTCCTCGAACACATCGCTGTCGACCCCCGGTAGAGTGGTTTGAGCTGCGGCTGGCGGAGAGCTCTCCTCCTCCTCCGCCTGGGTCTTCCTCTCCGGGCCCAGGGTGAACTTCTCTGGCAAGCCCGGGATATATGCGGTCTTGGTGAAGTGCTGGTACCATCTGTCTGCGTTCCGAGCGAAAGTCTGAGGATAAACCACGAATTTCTTCCGCTGGATGCGAGTGATGAGGGAGAGCTTCTCCTCCACGGGAGAGCCGCATATCGTCTTTACCTGGTCCTCGACCTGTCGCACGCGGGCACATTTGCTTTTAGCCGTGAGGGAGGAGACGATGGGGGGATACGCGGGCTCCTTTACCGCAGCATCGGTGTGGGCAAGCCTTTGGTTTCTAAGCGGGGGCCGTTTTTTAGGGAACAGCAAGGGCAGCCGTGTGCGGGCCGCCATGTTTCTTGTATGACTTGACTTCAAACTTGTTCTTCCGTTGACATATGCGCCGTTAGTCTCCCCCAACATCGCCCCCTGCTGGACGAAAAGTCATAACAGAAATACATGTCCATATTCGACAGTATTTCAGTTGTCTAAAGAATCAACTCCTATGTATGAACTGAGAAACTTAAAATTATTATTATGGTCAATTTCATTTACGGCCATTTTACATGTTTTACTTTTATGAAGCTAATGTTAGCATCAAACAACGTTGAGGCTCTTGAACGGACCCTTGTAACTCCTAAAAAAATGCCCCCTTTGGACGCATTGAAAAATGTCGTAAATTTGTAAGAACACAACATGATCATGGATATAATCAGACTTAGAGAACGTTAACGTACACTACCAGCTGTACAGTTTGGATACAGTGATCAGTGAATTCATATTTATCATTTGATGTGAAATTGTGAACTTTGATGGTCAGTAAATTATGTTATACGGGTTTTTCGCCTGGTTCCAACAATATAAATTAAATTACACATACATAAATGCCCCTATATGCGCAAATACCACCATATAAATAAACATATTGTAAATAATAACTTTATACTTATCTAAGGGCGTGTTGTTTCTCGGCAAACAAGGTGCTGAGGTTGTATTAATCTGGGTTCCTGCTCGTACAGGCATGCTGGGAAATGAAAGAGTGGACAAATTAGCCAAACAAGCTGTTAAATAAAGGAGACAGATACACATATTGATCTTTAAGAATCAGAAGGAAGGGTAATTGTACAATTCAAAATAGAGTTGGTATTGTAAGAAGTAGGGGAGGTAATAAAAAACAGGAGACAGTCATTACTAGGTTAAGAATAGGGCACAGTAATCTGAAGAGTACACTTCACACTTTAGGTAAGCATCCAACCGCTTCCTGAGATCATTGTCAGGTACTAGAAACTGTAGAGCATGTGCTGGTTAGTTGTATAGCAGATACGAATCACAGAGAAATGTAATATAACATTTTGGTCACTGTAGGAGTTAACTAACTCCAGAAGATGACAGTAGTGCAACGCTAAGGATGCAAGCTACCTTTACAACCGAAGAATATGAAGAGAAGTAAACATTACAAGGGAGCACGTAAAGGCAACATCGCCGTACAACACAGTTTCAACTGTCAACACGATTTTTTTAGACCACAGTGTTGTGTCAAAAAAACGAGTTAACCCTGAAATATTTACTTCGGATATACTAAATTAGCTGGTTAGCTAGTTATGTATTTTAGGCAGATTTTACGGACGCAGTTGATCGGGACCAGAGCGGCTGACCTCAGCCGTTTGCAGCGTGTTTGTCGAGCCGAGGTAAAGTCCGCTGCTCTTCAGATACACCGTCTCATTCTCATAAACCTTTTCTTTTCGTTAACGGCAGCTGAGCATTTTGACAACACCTGTCCCACTCGTCCTGGTGGAGGCTGTGGTGAACACAGTGTCCGCCCACCAAGAGGTTTGGTTTATGAGTTGTTTGTTATTCAGCGCAGAGCTTTTTTAATTTCCTCTGTGTGTGATGTGTCTCTCGGTCCCACAGAGACCACTGTGCACCAAAAGTGTCGAGGTGAGGTTGGCAGAGGAGGCCAGCAAGAAGTATGGCTCCCCAGCTCCAACCATCTTCTCCAAAGTGATTGATAAAAGCATCCCTGTAGATATAATCTATGAAGATGAGAAGGTAAACAGCCAACCTCCTCAAAACACTGCGTCTCATTTGTCCTGTTCCACATGGAGGCCAGAGATAATTCAGCATATGAATGTTGAGAGTAACTTTGCAGTTCAACTCTTCATATAAGTTGTTTTTTTGTGTGCTTATCAGTGTTTGGCATTCAGGGATATCAGCCCACAGGCCCCTGTTCACTTCCTGGTTATTCCAAGGGTCCCTATTCCCAGAATAAGTGAGGCCAAAGATGACGATGCAGAGGTAAATCTGTACATCCATTTTTACTATACTTGCTGATCCTGTTCAGGGGTTGTAAGGTGATGGGATGGTGGGCACCCAAACAGTGCACAAGCGTGTGAGTGTTGCACATATCTTCCTATTAATCTGCTGCTATAACACCCTCCACTCGTTCCAAAACCGAGGGGCCCCGATGGTAAAAGCACCGTCACCTTTAGTTTTCAGACTCGACTTTGGAACAGCCAGAAGGGCCCCACCTGAGGATCTAAGGCTGCGAGCTGGCTCATCTATATATTTTGTGCACACATGCATTAAAAAAAATCGCGTCTTCAGCTCTCTTTTCTTACATCTTTCAGCTCTTGGGACATTTGTTGGTTATTGCCAAAAATGTGGCAAAGCAAGAGTCTCTAGATGAAGGATACAGAGTGGGTAAGTTGCAGAAATGGGCTTATAGTGATACACAGTATATGTGGGAATACAGGCTGTTTATATACGTGCACATTGAATATTGGGTCTCTTTCTGTCCTTTGCAGTGATCAACGAGGGAAAGCACGGTGCTCAGTCAGTTTACCACCTTCACGTCCACGTCCTGGGAGGAAGACAGATGATGTGGCCACCAGGATAAGGGCTTCATGTGTCTCTTGTCTTTTCAGGCTACTTTCATGTGTTTAATCCCAGGAGCTCATCCTCCTCCCGTCATTCTGTACAACGACTAACTTCACCATGCAAAAACATGATAATATGTTGATTTGATCAAATATAAAGAATAAATGTAAACATTTAGACATCATGTTTGATACGGCTGCAAATAAAGAAAGTTTCTATTGTGGAAAGATGAAAACTCGACTAAATTCTTTAATCTGACATCTAGCATCTGCAATAAGTGATCAGAAGATAATGCAGATAATACTTCTACTGTTTCAAAATACAATGAGAAGTTCAATCTAGACAGCGATAGAATTTTTGTTAGTGAAACTGATTTGCATGTTATTTTGAAGCACGTTCAATTTTCTACTCTCTAACCTCCACAGATGGCATGTGCCCAGATATTAGCAGTCTGGACTTGCTGGTATTATTTAGTAACATCGGTGCCTGTGAGCAAGGTGGTTGAACTCTCCTCTATATTTACTTTTTAACCCAGACTATCAGACAAAAGAGGAAACAAGGGCTGTATTAATGTATTGATCTATGGATATTTTAAATAGAAATCATGGATTCTTACCGATTTCTCTTGTGCACGTTTTTACCAAGAAGTAAATAGAGAAGCGGAAGAGTTCTTACGAAAATGCAGACTCTGCAAAAGGTGTGTGCAACACGATGTCCCTAATATGTTTGTGCATTTTAACGTGTATTGCCAACATACTGACACTTCTTTCTTGACGTGTTAGTTACACAAGTTTTGTTGAACTTTTGAAAAACTGGTTCAAAGTCTCATCTCTCCTCATGAACCGGAGAGAACTTTTAGTTTCTAGTTAAAAATTCTAGTTTTATCATTACCCTTGCATATCTGATAATGACTTGTCTTCATGAGTCAATTAGGGATGATATAAGTCTAAATACCCCCCAAACACACATACACCTGCTTTATACTGTTAAATGTGTTTGGACTAATGTTGTCTATCCATTCAGCTGAATTATTCTAACTGTCTGTTCAATAAAATACTTAAAAGACATTTGGGAGCATTTTCATCACGTTTATTTCTCACAGATTAATTTCCACCACATCTAATACCAGCAGTTGTCTGCTAGTATCATTAATATAAACAAAGCAGGTTTCTACCAGTCGCAGGATGTTTGTGTGTCTGCCTCACCTGGAGGAGCAGTAACCCTTTTGTCAAGCTTGTTGGTGGATCTTTAACTGGTCGACTCGGCCTCAGCGGCAGTTGTTCAGAGGATTGCGAAAGTCGCTCTGGATTTGAGGTGTGAGTGCGAGGGAAGCTGGTATGCAGTTTAGCAGGTTCTCTTTAGGCTGATACTTTCTCCAGGGGGCAAACAGACGTGCACCAGGCAAAGGTTGATCCGGGTCTGTCCTGCACCTGACGACTTGTCAATCAGCTCTGTCCCAGAAGAAGGTAGGAAAAGTTTCAATTTTAAGATCTTTTTTTGATGTTGCAGTGTGTGAAAGAGACTTGTGTCGTTGTTGTCATACGTTGCTATTGGGACTGCGTGCCTTGTATGAGGATGATGCACTTTGAATATCTTTGATTGCTGACATGTTACAGCTCGTTTTCTGCTTCAGCTGAAAATAATAAATGAATTTCACAATTTAATTTAAGATTCTACGGCTGAGAAAAATATACTGCTACGCACACTGATGATTTCTTTGATGTGTAGACAGAACAAATTCATTCGTTAGTCTTTGGGCTGCATGGTCAATGTGTTTAAAACAAACACATGACTAAGAGATGGAAATACTTGATGTGAGCAAGCCGCTTACTTTTAATTGTTTGATCAACCGACTAAGTCTTTCTCTAAAACCCCCCTCCACAATGAATAAGTAATTCTTACATACTGAGACTAAATACCTGGAATTACTCTGGGCTTTCAGTTAACCCCTATAGGACTCTTATAGGACTTCCTACTCACTTTTTGCTACACAGATTTCTTCAAAGGTAACGTCTGCTTATAGTTTCTTTTTCTGAAGATACAGCTTGTGACTATAAAACACAGTAGTTAAGTTGTTTGTGAACTAAACTGCATTATTTTACTCTCTGCAGTACATTCACAAGAGAACTGAATCAAGGAAGATCTCAAGTCAAGCTCAACGTTTTAAATTTCATCTAATACGTGAAACGTTGGTTCGTTACTTTGTTAACTTGAATTAAGTAGAGATGACTGAGATGCAGTGTGTTGTGCTTCAATGTGTGATTATATGGGTGAAAGAGTATGAAAGCATGTAGATGTCCTCCAATGCTTTCTGGCACAATATTCAGAGTTTCAACATTTTGTGATGGCGGTCATTGACTCTGACCTGTTGCAATGTTTGTCAGTGTTATATACAGTGTATGACCAGAGCGGTGCTGTTTCATAACTGGAATTCTTATTTACTTGTAGGATAGCTGATTGTACTTAACACCCATTTAATCTAGTTTTCTTTGTTATTCCAGCAAATACAAGATGAGTGTCCAAGAGGGTTCGGTTAAGAGCAGTGGTGTTGCAGTCATGGATGGTAGAGCTGAGATGTATGCAAAATGATGCGTGTCCCAAAGTGAAAAAACACATCTTTACTATCAGGTAGATTTGATCCATTTGCACTATGTAACTAACAATTATGTTTGTCCACAGCATCTCTACCCAAAAGGCACCGTCAGACTCCACAAACATAAAGACTCACCCCACCCTCATCCTCAATGGAGAAGCCACCACAGCTGAGCTCTGTGCAACATCTGAGCTGGAGGAAGCCACTGAAGGACTTTCACTAGGTAAGAGTCAGAGTGCAACGTTAGGAGAAAGGGAAATGTGCATTCAAAATATTAGGTTTAGATTATAGAATATGGCACTGGTGCTTTATCACTCAAACTATCATGAACGCTTTGCCTGTTTACATTAATGGGTATATTTAATATATATATATGGGTTTTCTTTTCTATGTGTTATTTTCTCTTTAAAGGTTTTTCACCTAAAAAGGCTTACATGGCTTAATGTCTTAGTGACTGAACCAACTAATATGCTGAACCTACCAAAATAAAAGTTGTTTGGGGAGACTCATCGATCCTTCTCAAGTGGGGAAACTGCAAATGTTTAAAAATAACTCCAGGAACTAATCTGATGTTAAAAACGGCCTCAAGAGGGAAAGATTTGGAAAGACTTGTCGAACTAGTAATTGTAGAGCACAGTTGTTCTCAACGGCTCCAAGGGCTGAGTTACAAATTAACAAGACAATAAATGATAACAATAGATACACGAAAACAATAAATTAGTAGGCTCTCCAAATATCGTCTTTTACAGTGAACACCTCTAAAAAACATTAAAATGATAAAATCTGAGAAGGCGCCATCACTCTCAAAGTAAACACAAACATCTTGAAACAAATGCAACCTGTGAAAAAGGATATAGACATTCTGTCGCTTTAAAAGGTCAAAAGCCCCCAAATAGCTACTACTGTATTAGCAGCTGCATGAAGGGCAGAGTTTGAGAGATACTTACTCTATGCAGTTTAATAAATCAGCAGGATTGTCAAGTAAATAAAGCTAAAATATCATTTAGAGATCTCTTCAAATGACATCCAATACAACACAGCATAACCTTTCTATCCTTACGCTGGAGTCAGAGAATGACCCTCGTTCTCAGCTTAATTATCATTATGTACTTGTTGTCACTATGTGTTCTTTGTTTTTAAAGAGATTCTCAAATAGTTCCTACATTTTGGGTCGCTAAAATTCAAAGTGATACAGCAACATTTGCTTTTGGATAATATAACTATGGAAAATGAAAAAGGGAAAAATGCAAAAGAAGATGGATAGCATGTTAAGTAATAGAGTGATCTGAACCAGTCTAATGGTGCGTCTAAAAGCCTTTCACCAAACTTCCTCTAACCAAACCTGATCGGTAGGTAGGCACTGATATTTATGTTTTGTCTCAGGTATCATTATAGCCCTCCCACATTCACAGCACAACTTGTAAATTCTGTTGCTCTGACAATTCATGTGTAAGAAATCTACAGGGTTAGTCCAGAGATGTCTATAGTCCTCTCATAAACCCGACTCTTCTTCTTGAGCTTGCTGTCTCGGTTTGGTGAGGGTGTCTTCTGAATTTGACTTGTTATTAATGGCGAGTAAATACGGCTGTCCCTGTTGTCCCAATACAGAAGAGCCCAAGGCAGTTCCCTTGTTGAGGGCGAACGGACCAGCACCTCTGGCCCCAGCGGACCAGCTATGGAGCAGCAGCAGACACAAGGCAGTCAGGCTGAGGATGGAGGGCTCGGGCCCGGCCTCAGAGACTCCCATCACTGTCCATCAGCTGTTTCTGGAGACGGTGGAAGCGTACGGGGATCATCCAGCCTTGGTTTCCAAAAAAGAGGGCCAGTGGGTGACCCTGACATGGAGGCAATACTATGAGCAGTGCCGGGCAGCAGCTAAAAGTTTCCTCAAGGTTTGTTTGCAAATGAACTTGTGCAGTGGCTTA